TCGGTCTTAAAAACGTCCCTCGGCCTTCGGCCTCGGGCCGTTTTTAAGACCTCGAGAAATATTTTTCTATACGGACCTCCAATCCGGTAAATAACATATATTTAATCTCAGTATTCTGTAGAAGGCTCGAAGTACCGAGTCGAAAGCTTAATAAAAGTATATTTCAATCCGGAGAACTTTAATTAATTATATATATATATATATATATATATATATATATATATATATATATATATATATATATATATATATATATATATATATAAAAAATGGTTATCTTTCCCGCGCGTAATGCAAATATATACAAAATTTGCGAACTTTACAGGGCTATATTTTCCCCATTTTACAACAATTCGCAACCAAACTTTGCAATTTTACTCATTTGAAGATGCTCTTTCCAGCTATGGTAATGGATTTCGTTCTTCTTATCCAGATCAAAATTTCGTCTATAGCTGGAAACATTAGGGAATTGTATAGTTTAGGTGCAGCCCAGCTTTATCACCTGATGTCACTTTAGAACTGCGTATGAATCAAGCACATGCAAAGCCTGTGGTACATCGCAGGTTATACGCCGCCAGGTAGACAAGAACGCCACCATGCATGATTTGCTTTTAAGGTTAAAAGCAGAATCTCTTAGACTTTATTTTCAGAATATCAATCATCCCTTGTTTTAGGTGGTTTTTTTTTAGATTTACAGAGGATTATATACTATCAACAGTTATATAATTATTCCTGTTAAATATTTTTGCGCTTTTGTATGAGTTTAGATGTTTAAAATGATGTGTGCTTTTCGTGATATTTTTTTGTGCAGACTCCACAATGTCCACTAGTTCGACCCATGGCTCATGATGAGTTTAATGTTGATAATTATCCCCTGGGAACGAACGCCGTTGTGGCTGTTATATCTTATACGGTAAATTCTGCAACACTAGAATACATATAGTTTATTATATTTTACGTAAATTTTATTAGCTTGTCCTATGCATTTGAAAGTTGTACAGTATGGATCAATCTATAAATTCTCAGACCTATATGCGACCACAATCTAAAGTAATTTCTGATCCAAATCCTTACCATGATCCCAAACTTTTCCCAATCCTTACCATAATCCTAACCCGTATTTTAACACTAAATCCTAACTGTAATCGAAACACTAATCTTGATCTTAACCCTGACCTAAGCCTAATCTTAACCTGACACTAACCTGCAGTTGTGCACTTTTAAGAACCGATGATACCATTGCGATATTTGCTGCGATTTCTAGTACGATTTTCTTCTTCTGATGGATGTGAACGAGAATGAATGTTCTGAGTATTATATCTGAACATTCATAACTCATTCACTTGTTTACATCCATCACAAGAAGAAAATCGCACCCAAAATCGCAGCAAGAAGTGCAAGTGTAAACCGACCTTTATATGGAAAGCAACCCATAGTACTTCTTCGTCAAACAGAAAATTGCAGTAAATAAGTTTCATTAATAATTAGTCTTTGAATTGTGATTAATTCAAACTGGCCATTGTGATGTCGTTGCAAGGTCTTCGACTTTAACGGAATGTCAAATTTCTGTTTCAGGGTTACGATATGGAGGATGCTATGATATTAAACAAGTCTTCATTTGAGCGAGGCTTTTCTCATGGCACAGTTTACAAAACAGAGGTATACTAAATACAATATGTGTACATGTATACAGGGGCGTAGGAAGCATCAAAAAGTTGGAGGGCACCGGTTTCGAGGGGCACTTTTGGAATGAAAAGGGCACCTAAAAGTTTTTCCCGGAAATGTTGGCGCAGGGGGGGTTAGGGAAGGGAAAATAAAGGCAATCATAAATCAAAGGCCATTGAGGGCGACTCACGGATGAGATCAAATGAAAGTGACAGAAAGAATTAAAGCAGTTTGCAGTTGTTTTTGTAAACGAGCACCGTGCAAATTTTGCCATTTGTCCTGCTCCAGCCCGAATTCTGGTTCTGAAAGGCCCGATTCGCAGGCAAACAGTGCTCGCCAAGCACAATCAAGTAACCACAAAGACTCACAGAAGGTGGTGGCAATAAAAAGAAAGCTGCGGATTGGTAGGGATACAACTACCTGAAAAATACAAGGAGAACTTTGACGTTTCGAGCGAAGGAAGAAATGCCTTCGCGACAAAGAGCCTTCGCTCGAAACGTCGAAGCTATTCCCTGCCAATCCGAAGCTTTCTTGTATTTTTATTACCTCCGTAAGGCCCATTATTAATTAGCGCATTGTATAATGTATGCATGATACATAATTTATTTTGCGTGCGGAGTTATGCAGTTTTCGAGTGTTCTTTAGTTTGAACGTTTGATTTTTTTACCAGGTGGTTGATCTAGCGAAATTTGCGAGTGATTCGCGAAATGTTACGCTCCGTTTTGGTACGTACACTATGTTCTGCTACAGGCATCGTGGATTTCATGTTTTCTGTGTCAAATAGTTGCAGGTGATACATGGGATGGACGTAAAACACACAAACCTAAATCTAAAACGTGCGGTGACTACTCTACCCACAATCCTCTGTTTGAATTGAAATTACTCAATCTTGGACATGTTAGTTAAGAAAATTGTTAATGTCATGCTGTTGTCATGCTGTTGTATTCTTCTGGGGCCGGTTGTTCAAAGGTAGATTAGTGCTAACCCAGGGTTAAAATTTAACCCACTGTTTTAGTTTGCATATTTCTGCATGTCTATTTATTTCAAAATCTCAGAAAAGAAAACTTCTAATGATCCAGACATGGTTTGTGAAGAAATATTTCCAAATTTATAAACAAGCTGTTAGGAAGTTTCCTTTGAATTTTAAGTTAACCTAGGGTTAAGCAGGGGAGGCTTGTACGAAGGACAACACTATCCACCGGATAGTGATTTTTTCAAGCTCTGTTAAATCAGTCGTTGTTTGGTATAACCCAGATTAAATTTTAGTCTTTAAAATTAAAGTTTTTATTAAATGGGATGTCCATCCATACAACTGGAACGCTACCTCCAACCGGAAATTTGAAGCCAAACTTGAAGGCCAGTCCCAGTCTTTTCACGCATGCGAAGAGCGCTCAATCAGTGAATCATGATATAAACACGCGTGATCTTACCTCCAGACACGCGTGTCTGGAGGTAAGACTTGGCTTCAACAAAAAGATAGGCAGTTTATCTGAAGGTAGCGTTCCAGTTATCCTTATCCGTAGCTTTATAGCGTTTCAAGCATTTTTACAACGGTTGAAAAAATCACTGTCAGCCTTCGTGCTCGTCAAAATACCTCGTTGATGCGGCAGGCGTTTATAAGAATAGCAAACACATATACTAGACAATGTGATAAATAATAATGACTAATTCTTATTCCAGACTGCTGATTGTTTAATCTACAATCATGGACATAACTCCCAATATTACGAAATTAATCTACATGGACAAAACAAATTTCGTCACCCACTGCCAGTCCAATAGTGTGAACAACCCCGAATCAACTTTTGGTAGTGTAGAAACAGCTGTAGTGTGAGTGAGACACAACTAGAACTGAAAAATATAAGCAGAACGTCGACGTTTCGAGCAAAGATCCTTTGGGAAGTTGGTAGCCTGCGAGCAGGCTCTCTAGGGTGACGAAGGGCCTTCGCTTTCTGCTACACTGATAGAGACCGTTCGAGATTATATTTTGGTAGTTTAGCCATGAAGACCCTGGGGACGAGGTTGTTGTTTACCATGACACAAACTGATTGAGTTGGGGGGAGTGGGGGCTTAAGAGCAACCTGACTTTACAGGAGTTTGGAGTTTATTTTGTATAGAGGGAAAGACAGTCTCAACTATAGTTGTGTCCAAGATTGTCCAGGGTCTTTTTTGAACACATGCATGCTTTTGAGATCGACATGTTTTCGACGTTTGTCATTGTATTTTTAGGCTGTTTACCAGATGATAGCAGGGTTTCTGGAAAATTAGATAAAGATGGATTTCCACCTATTGGAAGCAAGCTAGAGCATGGTGATCCTTGCTATAGGTGGTGTATTTTATCATCTCGTTCACCTGGAAAATATTTTTTTAAAAAGAACTGCAAAAAGAAGTCAAGAACGTTTTACCAAGAAATGTCCTTTTAAATGTTTTTATAGTTATATTGATCTGACAACGGGCGATGCCAAAGTCAAATATTACCATTACATGGAAGCCGCGTATTTGGAATCTGTAAGTACATCAGAAAGATGCCAAGGGAAAATCCCGTATAAAGAAAGATTGATTTTAGGCTTTAATAACAAGATTTACTACTGCAGCATTTATTTAGCTGGGCATATTTATAATTACTATTTCCTTAAAAATAAGGGTGGCGGACCTTTAACTGATTTTTAGGTGAAAACATTTCGTTGTTTGTACTGTACAATATGCATGATGAATGCTATACTGTAACACTTCTCTAAGCTTTCCTGGAAGTTTTGACGATCGCATACTAGTGCGTATTCGTTCATCTATTGATTACTGTACATCAATAGATATAATCAATAGATACAATATTGTTTCACATTACAGGTAAAGTTCCTTGGTAATGATAATGGCGATGGTGAGTTACAGAAAGTATCGTTGAAATGGAGAATACAGGTATGATTTATCACTTCAATGTTTAACTTTACTTTCAAGTAGTGGTACCGGGAGGGGGCGAAATAGGCAATCATACCCTCCCCCACCCATAAAATGAAATCATGCTGAAAGCCTTTAAACAATAGCTGATCAATTGTGTAATAAAGCTGTAAAAATCATTTTAGATCCGTGAAAGCCTTAAATTATTAGACCTTATTATCAAGTAAAAGTGCATGAAATTTAGGCCAAGAATGTTTGATTAGGAGGTTAAAATATGTTGGCAGCCTAAATTTGCATTTCCAATATTTTGCCACTGCTGGACAGAGCGAAACCTCCAAATGAACCCAGGCTACTATATATGACTATGATCTTAAAACAATCAGGTCAGCAAAGGTTTGCTGATCTGAAACAAAAACAGGCAGGCAGCTGGTCGGCAAATTTATCAAAGGCTTATACAGAGGAACTTAGCTCATTAGTCTTCTGTTCTTCTAACATTTATACTGTTTCAACTAAAGTACTGTGAAACATATTTTCTGAAAGAACCGGGGTTGATAATATAATTTTGTAGAGAAATCCGATCATTGGTGACAAGTTCTCGAGCCGACATGGTCAAAAAGGTATCTGTAGGTAAGGTCTCCTGTTTATTAATTGTTGGATTTAATACTGTTGAGTTAAACCCAACATTGTATACAATTATGGGATACTGTAGTATATACCGGTACATTCAAATATACGCCAGAACATTTTTGCAACTGACCTCTGTTCCGTTTCTTTTATTTCATATAATTTTATTATTATTCTTTGATAGTCAAAAGTGGCCAGCGGAGAACATGCCTTTCTCTGAATCAGGAATGACGCCAGATATCATTTTTAATCCTCACGGTTTTCCATCTCGTATGACCATAGGTAAGAGATTTTATTTCAACACGACCTACTCCTCTCCTTGCCAATCCAGATGATTTATTGTGAAGATGCATTCGTTTTTCTGGAGATAAACTTGACGAAATTTGTATATGTTGTGGTTTCTTAGTTTGTGTAATGTCTACAGTAACTTTGTCTAAGGCGGTATGTAGGTTTAGTTGCTATAACAGTAGGCTAATGGTAATACAAAGTAATGCAGTCCTTAATTCTGTATATATTAGCGAGCTTATATAAGATGCACCAAATCTACGGCGCGGACGTGAAGAAAAACTGTAATATATCATCGCTGTCCTTCAAGTAGAAAATACTTTCAAAAAATGTTTTACAGTGCAGATAGGATAAGTTGGGTGACGTTTTATTTCAAGGTTAGAGATTTATAAGGATCAAGGCCGCCGAGGGGCGGGGGGGGGGGGCAAATTGCCCCAGGTTCTGGGGCCCCAGTCATTTTTTTGGAAGAAATATTTCCGCACAAAGGGCAAGATATTTGGTTTTTTGGTTTGGTTTTTTGGGCAAAGTAACGAAATTTGGTATGAAAAAATTGAGGTAAAGTCGCTGTAAAGCAATTACATCGTATACTCGTCCGGAAAAAGGTTGTTGTCCGAAAAAATTTTTTTCCGGATAAATTTTTGAAATAGGGGCCCTTAAAAAAATTTTCCCCGGGCCCCCGCCAAGCTCTCGGCGGCCCTGTTAAGGATATAGAGTTTCGATCGAGAATGCAAGAATTGTAAACAGTTTAAGGACGAAATCTGTGTATTTCACCTGAGGATGTTAATAGGAAAATGTACCCATTATAAGTTCTCCTTAAAAATGTCTTAGAATAGGATTGCGTCTTGAAGAAAGCCGAACTCTTCGTAAATCATTAGCTCTTTGATATTCACTTCGTTTCCGTATAGGAATGATGATTGAAAGTATGGCGGGGAAGTCAGCGAGTATGCATGGTTTAGTGCATGATGCAACGCCATTCACGTTTTCTGAAGATAATTCTGCTATTGATTATTTTGGGAAAATGTTAATAGAAGGTAAGTTGAGGCAAGTTCATTGAAGAAACCTAAAATTTTATTTGGGAGTCATTGATCTACGACATGGAATTCCTTGTAAGTTATTATTCGATTCCATCACAAACATGCTGTGCTTATGTCTTTATACCTAAAATATCTTCCGTACACAACCTGAAAAAAATTTGGCATACTGTTGCACGAAACGGCATGCTATATTGATGCTCTGAATCTTTTCGAGTTCAATATGCAGGGACAATCACTAAAGATTCTCTTAAATGTTTTTTTTGTTTAGCTGGCTACAATTATTTTGGCACAGAAAGACTTTATAGTGGTATAACAGGGAAAGAATTTGAGGCGGATATATTCTTTGGTATAGTTTATTATCAACGACTACGTCATATGGTCTCAGATAAATATCAGGTGCGTACTGAGCGGAGGGTTGACGATTACTGCGCATGTTCAGTCAGTGTTTCAAGAATCCTTTATATGTTCAGCAACACCGCGGAAAAACGTCTGCGCATGC